AATAATAGGACAACGAAATAATACCCAGAACAGCTATCCAAACTTTGTTATGAATAATGGATTACAAAGATCCTAGAACAGCTGTCCAAATTTTTGTTATGAATAATGGACAACAAATATCCGAGAACAGATATCTAAACTTTTGTTATGAATAATGGACAACAAAAATCCAAAAACAGCTATCCAAACTTTTGTTATGAATAATGATCAATAAAGTTGAAGGACTCTACTAGGTTGTATTTTTCCAATTAAAAAATAAAGTATGTGTATACTTTCTAGCACTAATCCATTTCATAACTTTTCAACAATTTCACAATCACTAAATTTACTAAATGATCTGCTATGAGCTTCTTGGAAGTCAAACTATAGAACTTACTTCCCTGAAATCGTGCGGAGTATAAATTCTAACATCTTATACGGGTATATGTTTTCCAGATCCTATCTTGACACTTAAAAAATAGAATCATTTTGATGATCTTCCAATCATTGGGAATTTCCACGGTGACTTATCTTTTTATGTGTGTGTAAATGGTAAGAATTTAAAATTAATTTGTCTTCTGTTTTTATTGTAATTCTTATATTTCATTGTTTTCATTAAATTTCAGTAGTTTAAAGTTATAACAGTGTTTCAGTATGTAAATATCAAAATATAGTAGATAAATTGTTGTAGTTTTTTAACAAAGTAGGATCTATCTATTTATATGTTTAAGTAATCCTGCTTGTGTTCTGATGGTAAATAGGTATAGAAATGCTGGAGCAGAAGTTCTGGCAGTATTGTGTAACTTCAGTGACTGTGTGGAGAGAGCTAGTATCGATGAAGCATACCTAGACTTGACTGGTACTGTGGAACAAAGACTTGAAAAGGATGAATTTAATGTGACAGCTTCAATGTTACCAAAAACTTTCGTTGTTGGCTGGGAGAGTAATGATTGTGACTCAGATACAGTGATGTGTAAGAATTTAGGTAGGAAGAATGTTCATATAATGATGATATTAATCTTAACTTTTTTATGTCCAGATGGGTGTAATCCACCTCGAAGGCAAAATTGCACCATTGAATTTAAGAAAATAAACTTGATAATCACTTTTCATGACATTAAAAAAACTTCAAAGTTAGAATTTATTCTATAAAAAAAGTTTTACTTACTTAACTTTGATTCTTTTTAAGGCTCATTGTGCTGGTATATCAAGAGTAAAAATTACAAAAAATGACGTTTTTTGGCACAATAATAACTAAAATTATTTAATATAACTTACTTATGACTGGAATAATGTAAAAATCTTAAGATACACACAAGCTAACATAGAAAGAAACTTGAGATAAAGTATTTGCATAATTAAGAACAGACACCTATGTATAAACAGAGATGATGGGCCAATCAACATGTCTTATTGGAAGACCTGTTTATCTTAAATATTTTAGCATGTATGATTTACCTTCCACCCTATCTCTTGATGTTGTTTTTCAAAAAATTAACTCGCCCATTAACAGACCTGAATACAAAAGGTGGAAGACTTTTGAAATATTGTTTTCTCTACTTGTGTTTCTACAACAAGCAGGTGCCATCCATTCAACCAAATTTCATCATAAATACTCTGCCTAAACAATATCAAAGAACATGATGAAATATTTTAAAACCTTAAATAGATATCTTACTTGAAGAAGCTACATAATCCGTAGAAAACAAGTTTGAAGTTTCAGAACATTTCATCCAATTTTTTTTGTTTTTTGCAGAGTAGTAACAGAAAATATACAGAAACTGCATCATATTAAGACATCTGGGTCTGATAAAACTTATTCAATAGAGATGTGTATTTAATGTACCATGTCACATAAATATAATATTTAAAAAACTCTTATATCCCTCCTTTAGTGAGTAAAGTTTGTAAATATAGTTTTTTAGGCAAAACATTTAATGCAGTATTTCATAATAAAATGCTAACTTGCAGTAAACATAATGTTAGTTGATAAATTGAGGAAGTAGGCAGTTGACAAAACATTGTCCTACAATTGCTACTTAATTCATAGGCCTTGCATCCAACACTCCAAAACCCTCAGTCATCTTTATGCATAATATTATTAAAAATTACAACATTTCTGGTAAATATTCTAAATTATGTTATTTGTTTTGTGGCATAATATATTAAATCACTTAAAAGTACTATGATATATAACTTGTATTTCAAGTTCTCTTTAAAAAAATTCAGTTTTAAGAATATGCTTACAGGAGCAAAATTTATTGGTCTTCTTTTTTGGTAAGAAATGGGGAAAGGTGATTGGATTATTGCAAAAATCAACATCAGTTCTGAGAATTACAGGAGTCCAGTAAAAAGATTGAAAAAAATAAGCAATCTTTATTTATGTGGTAATTTTCATTATTTAACACCTTATATCCCTTATGGAATGACCACAAAGTTTAAAAGGGGAGGTTTGTAGAGATTGAATTGACTGGTAATAATAATAATTGATTTTAGGTCTGACTTAAATCACTTAACAATTCTCACCTATGGACATAGGTAAATATACTGATCTTTAATTGCTGTTCTAGAAACATTGCCTGTCAACTTATACTGTAAGTACTTTTTATCATTTATTACATTCTGAGCATTAGATATTTTTATTCTGGTGAGCATTGACTATTTTATTTTAGTATTGTTCTATAAATAATTTCAACTTTTTGACTCCATTGTTTCTGGTTTGTAACTTTTATCAGCAGTATCCAACCCTGATTTTTAAACATCTTTGTAAAGCATGTTTGTTTTGTTTTTAAATTAAAAAGTACTTGTATTTCCATTGCTATAGACCCAAGAGAAACAGGCCTCAGTTCCTGGTTAGACCACATTCGTGGGGCAACAGGGAAAAGTTCACCAGAACAACGACTGGCGATAGCAGCTGTTATTGTAGAGGAAATGAGAGCTGCAGTTCTATCACAGACAAGTTTTCACTGTTCTGCTGGCATCGCTCATAACAAGGTAACAAGTGATTTTCAATGAATAATTTCATGTCTTGATTTCATTATTATGAGCATTTCTATATTTTGTGTTATTTTAGAAATGTGAGCACTTAGAATAGTTTAATTTTTAATAAGTGATTTTTTTTACATAAAAATCATTAGGTGTAATTACCTTTCCCACAACTGGCTGTGAATGATGTACTGGTAATGGTAGTTCAGG